GCGGCGGGAAGAAAACGCCGGCGTGGCGGAAGCCGCTGGGGAAGGGGGTGGGTGTGGGGGTGTGCGGAGGGGGATTTACGGCTTTGCGGTTCGCTGCTGGAGGGGTTCTGCTGTTGGGCAGGAGGAGGGGTTCATTCGGGGTTCGCACGTGGCCGCGGCCGAGCTCTGTGAAGGGCGTTGGGCATCGCTGGCGACGGTGGGGTTGCAGGGGAAGGAGGGGGGTTTAGATGTGCCCCCTGCACGCACGGCCAGAGCTGAGATGTTGCAGGTAGGATGGGAAGAGAAGGGATTTTTGAGATGGTTTAAAAAGCTCTCCGTTCTCTGAGCTTTTATTTATTAGCATTTCTTTAGCTCATTTGCTTGGAAACAAACGGCCTCCGGGACTGCGTGTCTTGTTGCAGCCCTCGGAAGAGGGGGAAATGATGCTGAGGGGGGGCTGCAGCGAGACAGAGAGGTTCTGGGGTCGAAACGTGGGTGCATGGGGGAGGCAGAGCCTCCAGCTGTTGTGGAGTAGCCCACACAGCTCTGTTTGCTCCAGTCTTCTGGTCTCTTCCAGCGCTATGCTTCTGCCGCTCAGTTGACGTTCAAGCCACTGAAAAGCAGGTATTATACACGAATGTACAATTTTGTCCCATCCCATCCCCTACAAAAAAAAAAAAAAAAAAAAAAAGCTGAGTCTCCAGCTTGGTGGAGGGTGCTCCTGGGTGTGGGACGGCGATGCTCTGCCTCTCCGGATCCGCCAGTGCTTGAAGTATCCCAAAAAGAAACCGAGCGGCCGCGCAGGCAGGGCTGGCACGTGTGCGGGGGGATGAAGGACGTGATGCCCGGCTGTGGTGGGGATCCAGGCCTAAAACCCAAAATACTTAGTGGCCGTAGTGACCACCATAGCATGGACTGGACCCTTCCCAGGGTAGACCCTGCCCTGTTACAGTGACGTGTAGAGGGTCATTAAATGTTACGGGATAAAGATTCTCCCTTCAAAGAACAGAGCTGCTTCAGGAAGCGATGTGAGTCACTCGGCTTTTACCAAATGTTTTTATTCAGTATGTTTTGCTAATAGCTTTTTTTTTTTTTTCTTCTACTGTTTGGATTCTGTCACACAGGGCTCTAGTACAAATTTTATAGACGTAAACCATCGCAGGGATGCAGCTGGAGTGGCGGGAGAGCTCAACTCCATCACCTGAGGCTGGAGAAGGGGTGAGCGGGAGCAGAAGCAGATCCCACGTGAGCGGGGCCGATGCTGGAGCTCACCCTCTGCCCGATGCTCTTTTGGGGCTGCGTTCGTGGGGAATTGGCCCTTCTCCTGCCAACCAGGCCCTTCCTGCGCTGCACCCGCACTCAGCAACAAGGGCCAAACCCCAGGGCTGACGGCCGGGACCCCGGGAGGGCTCCCTGGAGAAGCGCGGCTGAGCGGAGCCGCCGGCAGCAGGTCCAAGGTGGGGCGGCTCAGCCCCTTCCCGGTGTGTTTACTCGGCTGGGAGCAGCGTGGGAGGAGCGGGGAAATCTCTGTGCCAAGACATGGGGAGGGCAAGAGCGCTCCGACTTCCCGGAAAACTGCTCCCATTAAGGGCCGGCACGGGACGGGACGGGACGGGACGGGATGGGATGGGATGGGATGGGGGAATCGCCAGCGGGGCGGACCACGGCTGGTCTGCTTAACCCCTGCTGCGATACGGGAGGGATTTGGTGCTGTCCCCGTAAGCACCCAAAAAGGTCCGGCGTGGAACTGCGCCGTGCAGTTGTGAGAGCTGGTCAGTGCAGAGCCAGGGGAGAGACGCCGGCCCCAGCCCCGGCTTTAAAGCGTTAAATCACAAAGACTATTTCTGCCTTTTGTTCGACCACCCCCTCCCTAGCTCGGTCTAGTTAACATACAATACATCTTGCAGCTAATGTTGGTCAGGAATTTATTTGAAATACATCTACATTAGAAAAACTAGATTTTTTTTTTTTCTTCAAATCACTCTAAAATATCAAAACTTATAAACTTTCCTTTGCTGCATGGAGGTTGTTCATGTGCAGGGTGTAAAATGCCCACGGCTCAGGGATATAGATCACGCCAGGGTACTTCTTCCTGAGAATTTTGTCATTCCACAGCCACACCACCCAAACAGCAATGAGGACCAGTGTTATGATGAAGGAGTAGAAGAGAAAAAGCCCATTGCTGTCCAGGACGAGTCCTTTGCGTTTCTGGTGCATCACTAAAGCCATCATGGCAAAGAAAGTGAAAATGTAGAGGATGAAAATCTGACCTTCCGTCACGAGATACCTACAAAGCAAAAACACCTATTAGTGTCCCCCGCTCCGGGAGAAAGCCCCGAGCGAGAGCAGCCCCCGGCACTTCCAGCCTTACCTGGCCTGAACCGTCTCCCCCTTCTCCCTGCTCGGCATCCAGACAAAGCAAACTCTGCTGCTTTCTACCACCAGCTTTTAAACTGGGATTTGTTTTCACATTTTGAATCAGTAAATTTAACAACTGACCGATGGGCTTCGTTAAGAGAATGGGTAAAGAAATGCGTATCCAGTATGGGATTCGAAAGCCACTGGGCTCGGATTGTGAATGGGATGCTTAAAGGCAGAACCTAAGCCAGACTCCGGCTCCGGCTCATGGATGCTGTGCTCGTTTAGTTAAAAAATCCACTGCTCCCCCTGTGCTCTCCGTGGCAGCGGCCAGTCCCGAACGGGTGTGAGGAAGGAGGAATTACAGTCCCTGGCTCTTAAATCGCTAGCACATGAACTGCAGAGACTCACGCTGATATATTTAAAGGAAGTGCGATGGGGTAACTGGGAACTGACCAAATCTTCCTGATAATTTTGACTATCAAAAATTAATTTACTGTAGAAGAACAGTCTCAGCAGGGGGCAAAGCCACGGGCAAGAGAGAACATCATCTCTGCAGATGAATGAAAAGTTGTTTGGCTGCCATCAGGGAAACCGTTTGGGAAGATGAGGCTAATGAAAATGGGAAATAAATAAGACCTCTCTCAAAAGGCTATTTGGACCCGCAGGGTGAGCCGAGGAGGCAGCAGCTGAGCATCGCGCGGGCGGCCTGGGCTCCGCGTAAACTCCTGCACCGCTGGTGAGAGCCTCCCCAGCACCACCGACAGGCCGAGACCCAGGGGAAGCTGCAGCAAGTTCTGCCCCGGGGAATGGCGAACCCCTGTCTGCACGCTGCAGGGCCGCCTGCGGTACTCCCTCTTCACCCCCTCGCCCATCCGGAGCGGAGAGAAGCCACTTACCAGTAATAAAGGCTGCTGGGCCCCATCAGAAGCAAAGCAGCCACTGGCATCCTGCTCTCCTCCTCAATGGGGGTGAAGCAGCCCGTGAAGTATATGAAGAGTATCAGGAAAAAAGGGATGTACCTGCAGAAACGACACACTGATCAGTGGTGTGACCCTGGGAAGGGTTTAAACACCCCTCCCAAATCCAAACTGTGCGTGCAGGCAATTCCTACGCCAAGCCCGGGAATTAATTTGGCGAAAGAGGAGATGCAGAGGCCACCCAGCCTGCTCCGGTGGCACGTGCTCGGGTGGGTGAAGCAGAGGGCAACTGGGCTGTGGGGTCCCTCTTTGTGGGGTCCCACAGTGCCGGTGAGGACATCACCTCTCTGCCAGTGTCACAGCCCCTGCTACGAGATTGCCATCGGTACAACAGCCGAAGGGCCGGCGATGGCTGGCGCAGAGCTACTGCACATCCTGGCTGCGCCGAGCGGTCCTGCAGGTAACGAGGCTGCTGGGGCTGTCGCTGGAAAAGCGCGAGTTTGCTGATGAGGGCAAACACTGGGCTCAAGTCCTCCATCGAACAATATTTGTTACACTCCCGGGCTCTCAGAGGCCGTTCAAGAGCGTTGTGTTGTGTTAAAAGCTGAACTGCCGGAAAGCAGGACGTGGACCAGGATTTCAACAACCTGAGAGTCCTTTTTTTTATTTAAAAGAACGGGATTTGCTTGCTTCGCAGAGCTCAAGGAAGAGCAAATAAACCGGGAAAGATCTCCCTCTGCGCTCAGAGAGGTCTCAGGATTATCTGGCAGTGGATAAAGGGCCAGAGGGACCTTTCTGGAGTGGTCAGTGCAGGACACAGGACGTGTCTGCCGCGCTGGGTGCTGCTCAGGTGGATGGGAGAGCGGCGACGGGACCCGCCGCAGCCTGCGGGCACTGCCAGCGTTACCTGCTGCTGGGTCAGCAAGGGCAGCCACACTCTCCCGCGTTTCTAGGGTTGGCTTGGGGTGACAGTGCTGAAATCAGCCCTTAACCGGGCTCCCTGGATCACCACGGCCAAACAGTCTCTGTTACTGGGTGGCACTGGTCTGGCTACACGAGCAAGCCGTCCCTCTCGCCGGGGTGTTACTAACTAAGCGGATGTATGGTTAAAGGAGGGGGAGCAAGCAAAGGGGTAGAGAGACCGGGCGGACTGGGGTTGTGTTGGGTTCAGCCCTCAGGGGAGCAAAACTGTGGGTGGTGACAGCCAAGGAACCTGCGGAGCCCACAGACCCACGCTGTGACCCATCTCGTCACCCCGGTGTCCGGTGGGAGGTGGCCGAGGGGCGAGAACGGACAAGCCGTTCCTCTGTCCCCTACAACCGCCAAACAGCCACCATGTCCCAGAAATATCACTGAGGCAGAGAGAAAACTAGGGGGAACAGGCAATTTTCCAGGCGAGAGAGCCACTGTAATCCCGCTGGCTATGAGAACATTATCCCCAGCCAGCTCTCATCAGCTGTGTTTTATTTTTTTATATATTAAGCTATGATCAGATCAGATCTGCCCTTCCTTGTATTACCTTCTGAGGCCGCTAGATAGACTGTAAATTGCTTACCACATTGAATGACCTAAATATTCATCGTAGTAGTACAGCAGCTCAAAGGAATCAATCTGCAATGCAATGAAAAGAGATTTAAAAGGGCAGAGGGAACAGGACGCTATTAAATAGGAACAAGCAATTAATTTTTTTTTTTTTTTTAAGCGCTTATATAAAACACAGCCTCTTTACCAGTGTCTCCGGCTTCAGGTTCTTGATGATGGGATTCTCTCTTACAGACAGATGGTGCTGGTAGCCACTGAAAATCAGGCGATGGTTTACAGAGTCTCCAACCAGGTGGATGCTGGCGCCCATGACAAACATGATGATGCTGACGTAGACCATTGATCTCGGTAAGGTCTTGGGGGATCTCTCGATGAGCTGCAAACACAGAGGCGTGTTGAACGGCAAGGAGGTACCAGCAGAGACACAGAATCACAGAATGGTCAGAGTTGGAAGGGACCTCTGGAGATCATCTAGTCCAACCCCCCCGCCAGAGCAGGGTCACCTACAACAGTGACACAACGATTTGAAAAAATCATCTAAAACCCAAGCAGAGGTTTGCAGAAAGCTGCAGGTTGTGCTGCCATAGCGGGTGGGAGCTGCTGCCCGAAAAAAACGGCGCCCGCCCCCCTGCCGGGGAACACACAGTCGTCCCCCCGGGGAGAACGCGGTGCGACCGCACCAGAATGAACTTCCCTGGTTGCAGCTACTCTCCCGAAACGCGTTTCAGACACGTTTCCACCGGCCTACGTGGCTTTCAGGTTTGAGTTCACACTTTATCCCCGTTTGCGACAATAATCCCCCGTTTTTTGCCCTTGTTGAACCTTTCTGCACAGCAGCACCCTTAACCCGAGTCAATGCTTAGGCTGAATCGGTAACCCGGTACTTCTAACGGAGTCCTCAAAGCAATTTCTTCACCAGATGTGATCAAAACCCATTAATGAGAAACAAAAAGGCAGCCGCTTTCTCTCGTTTCTCTGCTGAGCGGCTCTGGAAGTCTGGCTGTGCCCTCCAGCGGCAGGGAGAGCCTCCGGCAGCGCTCCGGCGGAGCACAGGCACTTCCCTCTGCTGGCTGGGAGACACTCGCTCCTTTATAATTCTCCACTGGATGACTTTCAAAGGCATCGTTGTACCATTTGGGTTTTATTTTCTTCCTAATGGAATCGGACTCACCTCCTCTCTGTGTTACTTGCAGCTAAAGAGGAAGCTGCATTTAAACCCGTATCTAGAAATATCTAATTACCGGCAAAACCGGTCGAGGCAACCTTTGCAACAGCAGCTTTAGTGATGAGCTCTCTCTGTACCACCTCGTGGGCTGCTGGGGTGCGGGGGGAGGCGGGCACAGGAGGCTGGATGGGAGCCCGGCGGTGCTCCCAGCCTGGGACCAGCTCCTGCAAGCCCTGGCAGGGGACGTGGAGTCAGGCTTTGGAGGGGACGCCGAGCCAGCCCCGGGAACCGCGGGTCGGGGGGGACACGCATCAGCCCAGCCCCGGGATCAGCTGGGGCCACCTTCGCCTCCCGTCTCCCCGCTGCCAAATCAGCTTTGCGGCCCTTCATAAACAGTGGAAAGCTCCTTATTTGTATTTAATTTTGAGGCTTAACTTTCCCTTTCTCTGTAACCGCTGCACGAACGTCAGAGGAGTCAGAGAGGATGAGGAGAGCAAAAGGTCCAGGAGAGCTCTCGTCTGATGGAAAAGGACGGTGAGACACGTCCTTCGAGGGGACACTGGGCAAAAGAAATGCACCCTGAATAACGAACGGGATTTTTTTTTTTTTCTGTGGACCAACCCCTCGTGCTGTGCTGCCAGGGAAGTCCAAGACAGCAAATTTTAACCTGATGAGTGCCCAGCCTGCAGGAATCATCTGGGTCTGACTGAGCTTCAGAGCTTTCACATCCCCCAAAGGACTGGATCTTGAATATTCCTTTTTGGCCACGCTGGCATTTAAAATCTCCCAGACAGACTCAGGAGAGAGAGAATCATTTACATCTTAGCACCTAATTCAATTTCTAGTTAATGAAGGTTAAAATATATTTATAATTGCTTTTGCGTATCTTCTGGCTGCTAAGTATTTAATATAAGAAGATTTCTAATGATACGACAGTCTTTAACCTCATAAATGGTTTACACGATCCAGTGGCTGGCAGCAGAAGCAAGATAAATTCAAGCTAAAGATACAATTCTAGTGTCGAAGAGCAAGTGTAATTAAGCTCTGAACACATTTAGAAAATCTACTGTAGTTCCAGCTGTCCCATAAGGTCTTTTAAGTCACGGATGGATGTTGCCTTAAAAATACGCTTGGGCTCAGCCAGGGTGAAGGGCTCTGACTCCTCCTGAATTCGGAAGAAACGATTTGCTTTGTATGTGCAGGAAATTGAGCTGTACTGAGATGGTCACTGCCGTGCTCTTTAAAAGGTGGCATCACAAATTCTTTCTGGAGCGGCAAACCTCCAACGTACGGTAGGGCCGTCTCCCTTGCAGGAGTTTGTGAATAACCAACATTTGTTCAACGAGTCCCTAACAAACCCTGAGCCTTTACAAAACCGCATTGTTTGCCCTGCTTTTACAACCGGTAATATTAAAAAACTGTAACGTCGGCACCTCGTTTACCTTTAGCAGGAGAAATGGTGTGATAACATTGTAAGCCATGTGGAAGTAATCTCCAGCACTCGGTTTGTTTAGAGGAAACCACTCCAAAGGTAGGATTATCTGAGCAAGGGGGAGAAAAAAAAAGCACATCAGTATATCCTCACCACCCAGCTCACGGTTACAGCCCCGTCACTGGCTGAAAAGATGGGGAGAGAGAAAATCCTTGCTTTAGCCTGCCGCTGCTTGCTAATTGTCAGCTTGACTTCATGTGGCTGTTAGTAACGAAGTCGGGCAGCTCTTCTTGCAGTAAGTGTCCCTAAAAGCCCAGTCTGGCAGCGGGTGCTAAACGCACAGCGTATTTACACCTCAGCCCTTCGCTTCTGCAGCGCTGCCCAAAGCCGACGCCGTGCAGTTGAGTGGCCAAGCCAGTGAGGAAGGCACTGGGGAGTCCTGCCGCAGCGGATGTCCGCTAACCCTCTGCCATGTGCGGATGGCAGCAATAAAACACTACATTTGACAGAACATGGCCAGTTCTGGCCTGCACCATCCAGACAGCAGGAGCCCCACATTCTGGAGATCCAGGCGAGGTATGGGGAAGAGCAGTAGGAACCTCTCCAGCTAACTTTTGTTAGAAAAACATAAAGTTGTGGGATAGATGACATGGAACAAGTTTCCCAGATACCTTCCTGTGACTAGAGCGACATACTTGGTACTGGTTACTCACACCAGTACATCACAGCGGTCCTCGTCTCAAGGACAGCTCCTCAAGGGTGTCCCTTTGGTGTAGAGAACAGCCCATGGGTCTACAGGGGACAGCCAGGACTCTGCCCCCCCTGTCCTCCACCCTAAATAAGCTGACTGCAAGCAAAGCAGCGTGTCTGTCTCTGCCACACTCACCATGGCAATGGGACGCCCGAAGTCCAGCACCCAGTTCTGCAGAGTGAAGTAGAACCACAGATCAAAATGAAAGGGGGAGGTCTTGAAGGTGTCCTCGTTCTTGACTGCTCCATGCCTAGGGATGGCAGAAGTGACAGTGTCAGCCTTAAGTCACAAAACAGGTTTCCGAAGAGGCAGTGAGCAGACTCCAGGTTTGCATCCCCGCACAAAAACCTGTGCTTCCCTGGCTGCTGGTGTGCCTCGGGGCTCTGGCATCTGCGGAGTAACAACAAAGTTGAGAGGCCAAAGAGAGGAGGAGGAGGAGGCAGAAAGGCAAAGCCGTCGTTAATAAAAGCTGGCACATCCCCGTACAAAGGCCCTTCCTGGCTGAGAAGTGAGCACGAAAGCAGGATGAAAAGCTTAAGTGCTGAATTAAGTGCAACTATTTTTAAATTTTGCATGACAAAGCAAAATTCAACCCCCATGGCACTTCTGCTGAATGCTAAAAATGCATCGGTGCCTGGTGGTACTCAGGCGAAGGGATGCTCTGGACACACGATCACCTTCATCTTCCACTCTGATGATCCTCCTCCTCTGCTTCTGCAGAGCAAGGCCTGATCCAGCCCCACCAAAGTCTTTCCATGGAATAACCCCCCAGCACCACTGGACCTTCACCTCTCTACGGGAAAAGGGGATGAATCGCTCTCCCGTTGCGCTGAGACCAGAACGGTGTCAGCCGGATCAGCCGTGAGCTTGTGCTACCTGAGCCCATGGTCCAAACCTGATGGATGGATGGATGGATGAAGAGGATGGTGGTACCCTGGACAGGTTGGGGTGCCCTGGATGAGCTGCGGCTCCCTGGAAGGGGCTACCAAACCCCAGACCAGCCGGGGCAACGCAGGTGAGCCCTGAGTGCAGTGGGGTGCTGCGGCTGAGCAGGGGAACCCCACATGAGCCTGGGGGACCCCGACCCTCCAGGGACACCCTGGACAACCGCAGCATCCCTGATGGGGCGGTGGTACCCGGGATGGGGCGGG